AGACTGTCCTTTTCCTGTTGTATATTCTGGGCTCTTTTATTGCAAAAATAATTGACTATCTATGTGTGGGTTTATTTCTGGGCTCTCTGTTCTGTTCCACTGATCTGTGTCTGTTTTTATGCCAGTACCATACTGTTTTAATTACTATAGTTTTGTTACTATGGTTTAAAACCAGGGAGCGTAAGGGATCCCATCAGAGCAGCACCCACAAAGCCTCCAGCTTTGTTCTTTTTTTTCTTAAAGCTGGCTTTGGCTCTTCGGAGTCTTTTATGGTTCTGTGCAAATTTTTAGAATTATTTCTTTCCCCGTGAAAAATGTGATTGGTGTTTTAATAGGGATTGCACTGAATCCAAAAATTGCTTTTAGTAGTATGGACATTTTTGTCAATATTAATTCTTTTAATCCATGAGCATGAAGTATCTTTCCATTTACTTGTGCCTTATTCAATTTCTGTCATTAATGCCTTATAGTTTGCAATGTGTGGGTGTTTCATGTCCGTAGATAAATTTATTCCTAGGTACTCATTCTTTTTGATGCATTTGTAAGTAAGATTGCTAAAAGTAGGAAATTTAAAACTCAAAAATGAAACAAAGATTATTGCTAACAGTAAATTCATTTCCTGTCGAACGGACATAGTGATGACTTCGTGTCAAAGAGTCACTGTTTTTCCTGACTTGAAAAAGCATTTCCTACGATCAACTATTTCATTTTCACTAATGTATCTTTTACTAAGTTGACCGATTCTTTGGCCGAATCAGTCTCATTGAGTTTCTCCCCCACTCTTGCCTCATCACCTAACAATCAGCCTGAAACCTCCCTGCTCTGTTCCTGAACTCCTTTTGCTCAGAAAATGGCATCTGTTATTTGAAATGATACATGCCTTTCTCTTCCATGATTGGCACTGGGGATCTTTCTGTGCATTAGGAATTTATTAACTGTGAAAATCACAGATATAATCTGTTGAATCGGCAGGGATGGTGGATATATTACAAGTTTCAAATGGAATCCACACATTTTGAAGGTTAGATGAGGTTAATTCATGATGGTGTCAGCACGCCTGACTTAATCATTGCTGGTAAAACACAAACAAGTTCAAAAGAAGTTTCTTCAAAGGCAAGCCCAACTATTGGATATATGTGCATTCATGCCATTTGCTGATAATTTTGTGTGCTTACATGTAGGATTCACAGAGGTCCCTTAAGCCTTACTCTTGGTTTATGCCTAAAATGCTAAGTAGGCCCATCTGCAGAATTGAGACATCTGAATATATGATGAAAAAGTGCATGTTTGGGCCAGGCTGAGCAGCTGTCATTTTTTATTTGATCAAATTTGAGCTACAGATCTTAGATCACACATGGGACACAGCCTTTGGCTACTCTGGATGGAATGTATTTCAGATGGTGCAGTTGATTTACGAGAATAGGGTGTCTGAGACAATGCTCCCTTAGCAGCCCATTAACTATCTTATAGCAAATACATGTTGGGCTTAAGAATCCCTCTTTGAATAAAAGAGAACATTTTTTGGTAGATAATGTGTATAAGTCCAGATTCTGAGTATTAGAGCATCTAGCTGAATATCATCAGTATAGCATTTTATCAAGTACAGACCACTGTACTTACTTTTTTGACTTTAAAATTTCTTAATGTTATGTGGTCAGCTCTGTGGATCAATTCATGATAGAATTGCTCTTTAAAGATGAAGTAAATTGCTCCTCTGGAACTATCTACAAAATTGGTTATATTTTATACAAATTAAAAGGGGTGAATCATTAAAAGACGCTAAAGTTGTATTCAGTTCAGCTCGAATAAAAAGACTCAGTGTTTAGAGTTAGATCTTATGAGAGTTCTTACTTTAAAAAATTGGTTGCAAATAGTTAATGTATTGATGAAAGGATAAAAATTGTAATGCAGGGATAGAGTTTTAAAAATCAATCTATTAGATAATATTTGACTCTTCGGTAACAATATTATAACATGAATTTCCTCTCTCTTTAATAATGTGTATGAATCTTTTCCTCATAGCATCTGTTCTAAATCAGTCTATTTTCCCATTGCTTTTAAAATCAGGTCAAGGTTAATCTCCTATTCCATGTTTGCTTTCCAGGCATTAGTCATGAAACTGCTGATGAAAAGGTGATTTTTGGCATTGAATTTAATTCAACCTTTCTGGAATGTATACCTAAATCCCAACAAGCATCTATTAAGTGGTATATCCAGCGGTCAGGAGATGAGCATCGAGAGGAGGTAAGTTATAGTCTTCAAAGAATGCTCATCTCGAGGGAAATAGTGTAAAAGTTAAATCAAGTTTTGGTGGTGAGAGATGTTCAATGTTTAGTGCCGTATGGCGCTCTCCTCATTATTTGGGGTAAAGAGGAAAATACTAATTTATACTCACTAACATGGAAGATAACAATGCTTTTGATATGAATAGGACAACTTAGGAGCGAGCACCTGGGTGACTCAGTTGGTTAAGCATCCAGCTCTTGATTTCGGCTCAGGTCATGATCTCATGGTTCATTAGGTCGAGCCCCGTGTTGGGCTCTGGGCTGACAGTGCAGAGCCTGCTTGGGATTCTCTTTCAGCCCCTCCCCTGCTTGCATTAATAAACTTAAAAAAAAAATAATAGGACAACTTAATACAGACACATTAATAAAATATAATTAAAATTAGATTGAATATTTATAAGAAATTTACATATTTTTTTTCCAAATTTTCATTCTCATAGATTGTCTGTATTTTAGAGCAATTCCCTGGTCAAAAACAAGAACACATATTTTCCCCCTACGGTAGGGTAAGGAGTAAATTTTTACTGTGTTTACACTTAGGTCATAATAGTGGTTTAACTATTGTGTTTAACTTAGATCACAAAGTGAAACAGGTTGAATATGGATACAGAAAGAAATACCTATCTTTGTCATATCAGGTGAACAAGTTGGATAACTATCTGGACATGTACCCCTTCACTCTGGATGTGTTAAAATTAAATTAGCAAAAGGAAAAGCAGTATGGGTGTTCTCTTTATCTTTTGACTTTTTCTGTTTGAGTCTAAGACATACATATGATTGAAACATACAACAGAAATTTTGTGAGGTAGATAAATTATATATGTTGCGGAACTTAATGAGATGACTTTGGGTAGTCTGAGAAATCCTGTATTATTATTTAGTGCCATGAAACAAAGGGTAAATGGCAAAGTTTTTATTTTTCTCTTTCAGTGCCTAAGAGAAACCAGTGACACTCAGTACAGAGTTCTAATATTCCCAATAGTAAACCAAGGATATTGTAACGAGTAATGGAATGAACTCAGGATTCAGAATTTGATATTTGATTGAATCGCAGTCCTGTGTTTGGTAATATCATTGAGCTTGTATGCGCCAGGATTTTCTAAAGTGAACGAAATAAATTCAAAAGTTACTATGAAAGTAAAATGAGAAAATACAGATGAGAATGTGAATTTCTTTTTTTTTTTTTAATTTTTTTTCAACGTTTATTTATTTTTGGGACAGAGAGAGACAGAGCATGAACGGGGGAGGGGCAGAGAGAGAGGGAGACACAGAATCGGAAACAGGCTCCAGGCTCTGAGCCATCAGCCCAGAGCCCGACGCGGGGCTCGAACTCACGGACCGCGAGATCGTGACCTGGCTGAAGTCGGACGCTTAACCGACTGCGCCACCCAGGCGCCCCGAGAATGTGAATTTCAAAGCAGAGGATTACTCACAAGTGTAAAATACACTTATAAAATTACAGATATGCGGGGCACCTGGGTGGCCCAGTCAGTTAAGTGTCAGACTCTTGGTTTAGGCTCAGATAATGATCTCACACTTTGTGAGTTCCAGCCCCACACTGGGCTCTGCACTGGTGGTGCAGAGCCTTCTGCTTATGATTCTTTCTCTCCCTCTCTCTCTGCCCTCCCCCTCCCCTTTCTGTCTCTCAAGTTTACATAACTTAAAAAAAAATTGCAGATACTCTCTATCAGGAAGATGTGTGAAATAGGAAATAGCACTGGTCATGGTTTCAGCTTGACTGCTGAGGATTTATGAGCAGGTTGAGAAGTTTTCCTAACACTCAATTTCTCTGTCATATAAATAGGCAGAGCAAATGCTCTAAAATACCAGCCTCCTCGATAAGTCTATAAACATTTAAAATAATACATGTAATCGGTCAGACATTAGTAGAGAATAGTGGTTCTCAACTGCAGGCGAATTTGCTGCTAGTGTTCACATCTGGCGATATCCAGAGACGTTCTTGGTTGTCACAGCTGGATGGACGGTGGGTTGAGGGTGCTATTGGTATCTCTTGTGGGTAGAGGTCCGGGATGATGTTAAACATTGTTCAGTTCAGAATCCCTCACAAGAATGAGTTTTCTGGCCCCAAATCTCAGTAGTGCTGAGGCTGAGAAGCCTTGCAGTAGAAGGACCAAGTTGATCATAAGAAATTGATGGAAAGATATGTTCTACCATTACATTAAGGTGTTAATATCTTTCTCTTCATCTGAAATCTTCAAGAACAAATGTTTTTATTAAAATGTTGACTCTACATGCTTAATACCAAGGGAATACTCCAGTGATTGTCATGTCTGATTTCTCCAATAAAACTTGGATTCTTCATCATTACTGACATACATATATTCTAAGATTACAGCATATCCGTATTTATAATACATGTTTATTTTAAGGGCCCCATTTTTTCCAATATATATTAAAGTATTATCTGACATGGAAGTGATTATAAAACTTGGAAACATAAAGCATTAACTTTTTATCGAAGAAATATTGAATCTGAATTTTAACATGCACATTTTTAGTTACATTGTAATATTTTACTCTTAAATGTCCCAAACCAGCAGTTTTAATTTTATAGCTAATAAAGTTTGATAATTTCTCACCAGTTAAAAGTAATTCTTTAAATATGATGCTTCTTCCATGGCAAATTTAATCTGACTTTTAAAAGACTATGGTACTCTGCTTGGCGGGGGGGTAGTCTCCTAGTTCTAGACATATACATTTGCCTATTCATGTTTCCATTCGCATCTTTCATATTCCTGAAGAGGCAACGCATTCCTTTAATGTACCTTTTAACAGTATATCATATGGTCATGGTGGTACCATGCTCCATGAATTTTAATGGGGCAGAAATAGTGTATTTTACTTAAAAGTATGCTAGCTGTAATATTTCAACTGCTATTTTCATCTACCTTTGTAAGTAGGTAGTTACACATTGTCCAGGATATGCAGTCCTGCTTCCTGAGCTGAGGAAAGGGGCAAAATCCAGACTAGACTTGAGGCATTTTTCCCAGCAGGCTGTCCTCTGCTCCTTACCAAGAAGGTCACAGTTTGGAATCTTTCCCCACTGAAAAAAAGCCTGCGGGAGGGACTAGAATCTCCTGTGGCACAGAGCCTGTCACCAGCTTATTCTCTGCCAGGAGGAGAACATTTCCTTACTGAGCTGTTTCACAGTTGGGTGCTGTTGGGGAGGTCATGAGTCAGTTATCTGCTGACTTCCTTATAAAGCTGTTCTTGAAATTGATGATGTTTATGCTGTAAGTAGCAAGTTAATCGGCAGTCCCTGAGCTTCTGTTGAACTTTTGGGGTCTGAATGACTAGAAGAGGTAATACCTTATGCCATTTGTGGGAGTATTTTCTTGTGTGTGTGTGTGTGTGTGTGTGTGTGTGTGTTCAAAAAATATTTTAAACACATCTTCAAGTATTTGTATTTTTCCATGCATAGGTCTTTGTTTTATTGTCATTCTTTCTATTATAAAAGCAATATAAATGGTTTGGAAAATATAGTGACACATAGAGAATTATGAGGCCTCTAATGATGTCTATTCCATTTTTTTTTCCACTAACCATTACGCTTTGAGCAGCTTTCCTTATCATTCAGTTTGAATACCATGTTTTTTCCTAGCCCTAAGCCCGCCGCCCTGACACCACAGTCTTCCATGATTATTCCAAGTTATTTAAATAGCACGTGTTTCCTCTTTGAAAAAAATAGTGGTCAACTTCCTGATATCTAAATCTTCCTCTGCTCTTCTGTTTTCTTAGGACATATCTTTTGAGGTAAAATAACTGAGTGAAAAGTTATCTTTATGGCTTTTGATGAGCAGCTGTATATTGCTAATTTCTTGTCAAAATCACCGTATATGAATTTGCCTTCTCATACTTCATAGTTGTCAGTTTCCATTGTATTTGAAGTGCTGTACCCATCATTTGTTTAGTTAATTTATTTATTTTTATTTATTTCTAATGTTTTTATTTACTTTTGAGAGAGAGAGAGAGTGAGCGAGCATGAGTGGGGGGAAGGGCAGAGAAAGAGAGAAGGACAGAGGATTCAAGCCAACTCTGGCTGACATCAGAGAGCCCAACGTGGGGCTCGAACTCACAAACTGTGAGATCATCACCTGAGCCGAAGTCGGATGTTCAACGGACTGAGCCACCCAGGCTCCACCATTTGCTTAGTTTACATTGAAGTATTCATTAAAAATGATTTTCACAGGGGCACCTGGTTGGCTCAGTCGGTTAAGCATCCAACTTCGGCTCAGGTCATGATCTTTCGGTTCATGAGTGCGAGCCCTGCATCGGGCTCTGTGCTGACAGCTCGGAGCCTGGAGCCTGCTTCACATTCTGTGTCTCCCTCTCTCTCTGCCCCTCCCCTGCTTGCATTCTGTCTTTCTCTCTCTCTCAAAAATAAACATTAAAAATTTTTAAAATTATTTTCACCAACTCTTTTAAACTCTATTATTGATGTGAACATTTTAATGCTGTGCATAAGTAACTTATTATGTTTTATGTCTCTAAAATGTGTGTTCCTTACATAAAAGAGTTTTATATTTTACATAGACAAATCTATAGATTTATATCTCGATGATGTCTCACTTATGATGCTTAGAAACTCCTTCCCTAACGAAACAGCAAATATATATTTTCCTAGTTATTACCATTTTATTCTTACCATTGCAGTTTGCATTTTATATTTACATTTACTCTAAGACACCAGATTAATCTAGGGGCTAGTGATGTATAAATTCCATTTTTTTTCTTTTAAAGAACGAATCAATTGCCTCAGAACTATTTTTAAATAAGTCTTCCTTCTATGTTTGTTGCAGAAAAGAGGTATTCTTGAAGGCCTAGTCACTTCGAAGACACATGCCATGCTTTAGCTATGAGAGATTTGACAGGCAAATTATCTGCAAGGGAATTACCATTAGGCCGCTATTATTGGAGAGCAGAGTCCCTGACCTTTACCTGCTGCTTCGTACCTAAATGTCCTTTGTCCCTCTCCATGCTACTCTTCTCGTGTTAAATGAATTGCCCTTCACTGAAGATCTACATTTAATAATGCCAAATATATTATCCTTGTTCACATTAGGCAAATGGATAGTCGACCCCAGTTCGAGCGTGGTTTTGATTTAGCGGAGCAGTTTTTACTTATCACTCTCAGAGTGGAGAAAATTCCATGAGTTTAAATCAGAGGCCAGAGATTACATTATCTCTTTGTAAAGGAGCTGAATTTTCTAAATGGACTGTGCTGACATCTCACTGTGGAGATACAGCCTGCGTAATGCATCCTGTTCCAGGATGGAAGGCAAGCAGTACAGAGAAGGAGAACGTGAAGTAGACAAATGTGAATTAGCCGCTTAATTTCTGGGCCGCAGCTTCCTGTCTCTAGATAGCAAAAAAACCCTATGAAAATATAGCAATTCCAACTGTATTTTATTAGAAATACTATTTCAATCAAGGCATGTTTTTGAAAATTGACAAAGAAAAAACACTTAAATGATCTAATAAACATTAGATAAATCCAGAAAGAAATTTATTAAAGTGCAATTTATATCTATAGGTCAAAAAAAAAAAAAAAAAAAAAAAAAAAGAAAAATTAAGCATTCCATGGAAGAAAGAAAAGGGAAGGATCACACTGGACTAAGGAAATGCCAGGTGTTTATGAAACTCTGAGTCCAGTAGGGACAGACATAGACGCAGAAGGAGGGAAGGGAGCTGGACTTCAGAGTTAAACAAATAAACAGGATACAAAAAGAGAACAGCAGAGATAATGAAGTGTTACATCATATGTGCGAAATCAAAGTCATAATTTCTTCCTGTCAGGAGATTAAAGAGAACAATAAAAAGTAGTGAGTCAGAGCTGTGACAGCTCTCTAAAAGCCACATTAAGCGCAGCTTAAACATCAGCAAGAGTTCCAGTTATGAAATCTAGAGATGAACTGAAACTGAAGTCACCCACCTTGACTGTCATGCTAATAACCACAGGCCATTTTCTATTAAGAGGAAATTACAAAAAATAAAAGCCTCAGAACATCACCTCTCCAGCTTTCCAGTGACAGTGCAGTAGTCTATAATGTTGCTAATAATACCTCACACTTTAACCTTCCAAGAGCTTTACTCTTAACCCCCCAAATACACCATATGCTCTGTCACCAACTTGATAAATGGAAGCCCCATCGGAGAAGATAAATGAGTAATCATAGGAAGCAGAGTCGGCAGATAAGTACCAGATCCTAGGCTTTGGAGGCAGAATTTTGTGATCTAAGATGTAGTTAAAATTTGAAGAATAATTCCTACAGGAAAATTATTTAAAGGAAAACGTGTACGTAATGTGTTAAATTTGAGATTAGTATTTCTGCTTAAGATGGACCCTTGCGAGGGGCGCCTGGGTGGCGCAGTCGGTTAAGCGTCCGGCTTCAGCCAGGTCACGATCTCGCGGTCCGTGAGTTCGAGCCCCGCGTCAGGCTCTGGGCTGATGGCTCGGAGCCTGGAGCCTGTTTCCGATTCTGTGTCTCCCTCTCTCTCTGACCCTCCCCCGTTCATGCTCTGTCTCTCTCTGTCCCAAAAAAAATAAATAAAAAACATTGAAAAAAAAGATGGACCCTTGCGAATCCTACCAATTCAAGTTCACATTTGTTATTTTAGGCGTGAGACTCCCCCATTTCTGTGAATGTAAGTGAATGACAACAGAGTTTTTAAGTGCCTGGGCCTTTAGAGTAAGTCCATTAAGAAAAAAAAAAAAAAAAAAAAAAAAAAAAAATAGCACACACAAGAATCACCAAATGGGGAAAGTTAAGGGAAACAAACAAACAAAACCTTGACGGTGTGGATTCAGTGTAGAACGAAGGCAGCCTGGAGACCATTCAGCTTCATTAACCAGGGATCTGGGCTGTGACCTGCCTTTGGCCTCGCGTGGTACCCCACCAGCTGCACTTCTCTGGCACAGAGGGTGGTTGGCTACATACTTGTTAGTTAACTGGGCTGGTAGCCAGAGATGTTTCTTTTCCTTTGCTCATATTTCCACAATTGGAGGGACTTTTTCCTACATATTTTTCACATAAAGATGCAGTGTATAATCCACCCACTGTGAATAAATTTAATTTAGCCGTCTTTATGCCTCCTTGATTTCCATCCACTAAAAGTCTACAATTCAGGGACAGATGTGTAAACTGGGAAATCTTCCAGACTTCTTTGTTGTTGTTGTTATTCTACGTAGTGCCGAGCCACTCAACAATATTCCACATGAAACAGGGCTCTTGTGTCGGTAAACGCGCCTCCAGTTATATTGAAGGTAGATTTGCTATTCACACCAGGTTGGGAGCCAGGCAAGCCTAAATGCTTGAATTGTCTTCCAGTGCTGTTGCTTCAAAGGGTAAAGGGCATCATGTTTCAGGAGGGGTTCTTTTTTGTTCATTGAGTTTTCTCACACTTGAAATCACATTACTAGGTCATGGTATACCGAGGTATGGCAAATATTTCCACAAATGACATAATCTAAAGTATCACATATACACACAGTATCAAAATTCAATCCATAGTAAAAAGGGAAATTCAGCTTTAAATGTTGCTAACCTTCTGACGATGGTCCTACTCAGTTACAGCTCTAACATCCCAAAAGCTGTATCCATGCTTTTCCCCTAGACTTTTAACAAGTCGCCACTTACGGTCTCCATATGCTGCTCAGCTCACTTACTGGGTGATATGCAGAAGACAGAGTGAATTCCTTTTGGAATCCTTGTTCTATTTCTACTTCACAGGTAGTAGCATGTGCTAAAATCCCTCTTTCTGCACGATGACTGTCAGTGTCCCGTTCTGGCTCAGAAATTCAGATACCAATTGGTGTTTTTAATATTCCACTTGGTACATAAAATTTCTGTAAAGATGGTCGGTTGAGAGTTTCCAGTTTTACTTCATTGTTTTTTATAGCTTTCATTCCTACCTGTAGACTGGGAGAAAAACGAACTATGTTCCAAAGGTTTAGTTAGATAAGAATGAGATGCAAACCTGCATCTTCGGGGGCTGTTACTTTTGTGGAATTTGTCACTGTCTTCCACTGTGGCTGGTAATATTATGCTTGATGACAGGGAGACGGGAATAGATCTCTTAGGTTCATCTGACTAAACCTAGGGAGCCTCTGTTCATTTGCTCATAGCCCTCTCTGCTTTTCATTTATTACCTCCATTTTTCCAATTCTGCAGTTGAAACCTGATGAAAGGATCATCAAAACAGAATACGGGCTACTGATTCGAAGTTTGCAGAAGAAGGACTCTGGGATGTATTACTGCAAAGCCCAGGAGCACACTTTTATCCACACCATAGTGAAGCTGACTTTGAATGTCATTGAGAGTGAACAGATGGAAAATACCCAGAGGGCAGAGCACGAGGAGGGGCAGGTCAAGGATCTGTTGGCCGAGTCACGGTTGAGATACAAAGACTACATCCAGATCCTTAGCAGCCCAAACTTCAGCCTCGACCAGTACTGCGAACAGATGTGGCACAGGGAGAAGCGGAGACAGCGAACCAAGGGCGGCCCCAAGTGGAAACACATGCAGGAGATGAAGAAGAAACGAAATCGAAGGCATCACAGAGACCTGGATGAGCTTCCGAGAGCCATGGACACGTAGTTTTTTCTTTAATTTAAAGAAAAGAATGCTTTACCTGCAAAAATAGCATCTTCTGTTTTGTACACCCCATATACGAACTCATAAGAGCTTTCCACGGAGTTGTGCTAAGGCAAAGGACCCAAGAACGATAATCTGAATAAGACTATATGTGGTGAATATGGCATAGCGAGGGCAAATAATTCATCTGAACCGGTTTTCTGAGAACTAAACATGGACTTGCAAAGTAGTAGAATTAGCCTCAAAATAGGGGCTTCCCATTTGTAAATGTTTTATGTCCTGAGTTTTTGAATTTGTTATGTCATGTAAATACCTGAGGTCAGCAAGCATCAAATTTTATATTGTCATAAGGTGCTTTATTTCCCTTGCATGGACGTTAAGGATGGAGTTGACCATGCAGTTGTGCTATATATATGTTCTTATGAACAGATATATCAATTCTGCTCTAGGACTGGCTACCACACGGTAGGAATTGGAAGACACAAATGCACACAGCCCACACTATCAACAGGATCTTTCCCGGTTCACTCTTGGTTCATGGTTTAGGAGTTTGGAGAGGTGCATTATTTCAAACTACAGAGGTTACATTCGTTGTACTGCAGTGTGATTTACTGAAGGTATAAATGCTCCTCCCAGCATTCCTTATGACTTGTCAGGAGAAACAGGTTCGTGGAGAGAAGTTAGTGCTCGGTTATGTGTTTTTAGAATATATGCCGAGCTTTACAGGGACGGAATGCTTCATAAATATTTTAATAAGACATGGGAAAACATTTTAATAAGGGAAACACCATGATGTATACTGCATCCTAATGGGAAGGCATACAGATGGGATTTGTTAAGAGACAGAAAGAAAGACAGCCATAAATTCTGGCTTTGGGGAAAACTCATATCCCCATAAAAAGGAAGAACAATCACAAATAAAGTGGGCGAAATGTAATGTAGCTTTGGTCACCAGAGTATAAGTAGCTGCCAATTTGTAATCCATCTGTTAAAAAAATTCTACATTATAACAAACTGCTAGCGAAAGTCTGAGGAAAAGTAAATTTTCTAAAAGATCATGGGAAGAATGAACACAGATTTATTTACAACCAATGGGATTTCAGTAGTACTTCCTCTCTTTTTTTCTAAAATTTCATTGTACTCTGTAAATTATTTCCATTTACTGCCTTTATTCTCTCCTGAATATTGGATTATTGGATTTTATTTGAGTGAATAGGAAAATAACAATATATGCATATAGAGAGAGATAGAATTAGGTAGACTAGAGTGGTGGGGAGTGGGGATATATATTTGTTGAATAACAGAACAAATGCAAAAATGTTGACAACGGAAAGGGTTAAATTAACTCTTTGACATCTTTTCTTCACACAATCTTTTTGCATTTCTCAGATTATATGCTGTAATTCAAGTAACATTGCTTTCGTAATTTAATAATAAATAAGCCTAATGCATGTAAAGAAACCGAACTCGCAGCATTAACCTAAACATTTTTCATATTTTGTTAGCACTTTCGAATGTTTCCAATTTGACTTTCCCTCTCTGCATACGTATGGTATGTTTCCTGCCTGTGGAAGCAGGACTCACCTTTCCTTCTTGGAACACAAAACCCTTAGCCTTCTTCTGTTTTGCCTCTTCACGCCCTTTTTAGTGTGAAATGAAAAATTAGTCACTTCCTCACATGGAAGGCAGCCTTTCAGAAAACTGAATAGCAGACATTGCTCGTTTATCATGCATGCTGCATATCTTGAAAGAAGAGCCTCTGAGAACCTGTGTGGTTAAAGGGCACCTTATTAGAGTTCAGTGTCATGTCTGTGACTGACTCGATGTTCAGAACATTCAATCTTACGTTCATTTTATTTGTCTTGCTTACCTATGTCAAAGTAGTCACACTGCTATGTGAGGTTAAGTACCTCTTTTGAAATGATACCGTAAATATTTGTAGGTGTTTCACTATACAGAAAGCTTAAATAAGTTTTTGTTTGTTTGTTTGTTTGTTTTTAAGGTGAACCAGACACAAACACTCTTTAAAAGTAATGCATAAGAAAGCTGTAGGGAGATCAGGCTAATTGAATATCATAATGAGAGTGTCTGTAACTTTGGATTCGCTGGGTCTAAATGTTCCAGGAACTCATAGCAAGCTCAAAGCAAATAAATGGGAGGCTGTTTTATTTTTAAGATTTCCTGTATATCAGACAGTCATGATCAAAGCAGAGATGGCTTTGGGAAAATTACATGAAGCTCAAATGTTAGGATTGACTTCTGTAATAAATTTGGTTTTCATCAAAATACGAATGTTCAGGCCATTTTTTAATTGCTCCTTTTTAATCTTAATTATTTAGATAAAGTTTGGGCAACTTCTTTTACCCTACAGCTAATATTTGGGCTGCTTTAGATCTAAAACATTAACTTATGGTAATTGCTTAAAATATATTTGAAATATTGAGTAAATATTGAGTGAAACAAAAAGTCATAGAATAAAAAAATATGGACAAAGATTTATGTGTATTTGTAAAGATAGAGGACATCTAAGCTCCATTGAATTTTTAACCTTTTAATTGCCTGGAACACTTAAGACAGTGTGAATGTATTAAGTCTAGGGCTGAGACACAATATATACTTCCTCACCACTGAAGGTTTTACCAAAATTTCCTTGAAATAATGAAAACTAAAATTATAGTCATGGTTTCAAAAATGTTTGCTAAGAAATCAGCTATCTATGGAGAGGTCTTAAAATGTCTGCTTATTCTTGGTTTCATATTTTTCTCCCCTGTTTTGAATACATATGTCTTTAACTTGCATATTCTTGCCTGCATTTCATTCCATCTATTTATGCTGCTAAATGGAATTCTGCCTTTCTGCATACATTTACATTCAATTCATTGGGAATTTTGAGAGTTTGCTTAGAAATGAATAGTAATTAATTTATGTAGAAGCTTTTTTTCCTCCAAAGAGCTCAAAACACTACATTCATATTACTGAATAAACATTTTGGAAAACCAACCAAATTACTTAAGAGATGGAAAAGTAGTCAGAGAAATTCAGAAATTTGCAAAAGCTACAACAGTAGAGGAATCATAATCTGTACCAAATCTCACCAATGTTTGGCTAACTGATGCTCATTTTCAATATGCTACCTGCAAAATTGTCTTACTCTTGAATTCTGCCTTTGGTCAATATTTCAGTTCTTTTATGCTGTTAAGTTTTGTTCCTGCTGAATTGTATAGACTCAATTAAAAACTGAGTTTACAGTGGCCAGTGACTGTTTTTCAACATTATCAAAACTAAACTTTCAAAGTTTTATGTTAACCACATGTCCACAGAATATTAAGTTGAATAAGAACATTAATTAGACACTGGTATTTTAAACTTAAATATAAGCTATATTTCATATATATAATAAATACCAATGAAAATCAAAACTGAAATGGCTTCTCTTTAGAATGTTCCATTTGTCGCAGACAACATGTTGGAAAAGTGATTAGCCTTACTGGGAATGGATAGTTTAGAAAAAAGTGATATTTGAAATGTTTTTATAGAAAGATGTATTTTTCTCAGTAAATGACCACAGCATTTTAATAATTTAGCTTACAAGTGAGGTTAAAAAACAAGATTTAAAATTCCAATATTGACAGTGCAAAGATAGGAATACGCACATGAATTATACCTCTCGTTTAAATATTTTGTAGTGTAAATTATTTATGGTAAGTTTGAGATAGAGGATTTTTTGGGAAAGGGCAAAAATCTATCAGCTAGTCATGTAATTTAATTCTGGTATTGTAAGTGGTTACCAATCAATTTTCAATTACAGTTTTGCTATTTTAAAAGAAATGTAGTCTTGTAATCTAAAATAATTGAAAATTGTCAAATGTATATTTTGGTTGTATTATATAATAAAACACAAGCATTAGTGTTCTATGGTTATAAACAGAATGTTGGTTCGTGTGCAAGTTTTGTTTTCAAACCCTAAACATGGTAACCGAAATTTATTCAGGGAATTGCATTAAGAATAAGTGTCTCTCCCCAATTAATACAATTATGTAGCTACCCTTTACTGTGATCTAAATTTAGACTTTGGCAGACTGACATAAACATTACTACCCAAAGTAACTACTTTTAAGACTTCCAGTGATCACCTTACACATAAAATTTGAAAATACTCACCTATATGTTCAGCCCTATGACTATAATTTATTAAAGGAGTAAGCCGAGGTTTTTGGGTTTTGTCTTATAAAGAAACATCTTGAATTTCTTTTAGAGAATATTCTATTTCTGGTCAATTTGGTACATTTGTGAAGGATAGTTTATATTTTCAAGCAGATAATACATAATACCCCCCCAACCCAGTTATGAAATAACTTGTAGAGATATTGTACAGAAAAATGTCAGGATTTCTGTGTGCTCTGACAATCTTCAAACATGAGTGTTTACAGTAATGTATAATCCTTGAATGAAAAAAAAATTATATATTGGCATTCTTAGTAGAACCTTAGTAGGATCATGTCCAAGTCATTAATATAAATAGACTATAATACAAGCTCAGTCACTGAGACAATTCCAGTTCTATTTGTTTGAATATAGAAAAGTGCTTGAGTGGGGCGCCCGGGTGGCTCTGTGAGTTGAGCGTCTGACTTCGACTCAGGTCATGATCTCACAGTTCGTGAGTTCGAGCCCTGCGTCGGGCTCTGTGCTGACAGCTCAGAGCCTGGAACCTGCTTCAGATTCTGTGTCTCCCTCTCTCTCTGCCCCATCTCCACTCATGCTCTGTCTCTCTCTGTCTTAAAAATAAATAAAACATTAAAAAAATTAAAAAAAAAAGAAAAGTGCTTGAGTAATTCTCAAGGCAAGAGAAACAAGAGTTGAACATTTAAGTTGAGAAGTAAAAGCATCTATAACCATGTAACTTGTTACCTGCATTAACAGTTTTTCTAGTCCAGGGAAAAGTCTTGCCCAGGAAGATGGAGCTGCATATAACTTTATTGTTTCTTTCAGAAGTTGATACACTT